TCTAAGACTTTAGAGCCAAAGATGGTGGCAGTGGAACTGTTTCTACAGCAAGAAATCCAACTGCCCTGAAAATGTTTCCTTTGAATACAGCCTAAATCTGAGCCGGTTTACTGTTACACCTGTCAGATCTCAGAGCGGATTCTGTCAGTTCCCAGCCACAAGCGCTTTTTCTCCATGCAAACAGGGCGCGGTTCCTACCTGTTCCCAAGCATCTAGTAACATGACGTCATCCTCTGCTAAGTCGTCCTGGGTGAACTCTCCCGGAACCTCCTCAATCTGAAATAAATTAAAAGCTTCGTGACCAACGATGCAGCAGAATTTTTCTAGTACACAGAATATAAATGCTTGCTACTACTACTGGGGGGCAGTGAGGAACTTCGGTAGTCATTTTTTTCTTCTTTTTGAGTAAGAAGGGTTTAACCAAGTGTCACACACAGATGGCGCAGTTGCACCATCTGGTACTCAACACAAACGGTGTATCCGAATGCCGTTAGGAAGGATATGTACAGCAACACAGTCCTCCTACCAGCAGTTCCTTGGAGCGAATGGCTTCACAGACCTCATCACCTACCTTGTCTCTAAGATGTCTGCGCTTACGGTCTGGGTATTTCATTCTTTCATTTTGTATCAAGATAATTCTAATTCTAGTCAAAAGATCTGGACCTTTTAGTACATCAACAATTTTCCATAAGGTGACATTACAACATAGTATCGTACGTGCAATTTTTCACTTTTATTTTTGATGGGTTAAACTGTGTTCTCTGTAGTGAACAGTAAATGGTAATGGAATGGTTAGTTTAATCCACCCGATATCAATGGTTAATCTAAAGTTCAACATTGTTATAGAGAATTCCACCTGACGTCAGCCCCCGATTCTTAGGAAGGTTCTCAGTTCCTCGCTCCCTTATCCTCCTGGCAGGTGACTCTGCAGTACTCAGACAAGTACAGCTGACCACGGCCTTGGCTACATCATGTTAGCAAGTATAACTAAGCAAGGGCCTTCTTGCATTCCAGGGCTTTGTCATAGACAAACTGGCATAAGCCTAACCTGCAGCTTACAGGGAACCAGGCAGAGCCCAGCCTGAACCAACCTGGTCCCTGGGAACCACCAGATTTCTAGGTGGGATTCATGTTTGTTATTCCCTGACAAGATTCCGAGATCCTTTTCCAAAAAAAAAAGGGCCGGGCTTTAGCTCAGTAGTGCCGCTGCCTGCCTTGCAAGTGCAAGGTCCTGAAGTGCTACGTCCTGAGTTTGATCCTGGGTACCAAAAAAAAAAAAAAAAAAAACCAAAGGTTTTAAAAAAATTGAATGTTCACAGAGAGCAAGGAATTTTACATTATCTTTTTACAAAAATATTTACTAATCACATCAAGGAAATTAGATAGTTCTTAGAATCAAATGGTAATGCCAGTAAACATACCCATCTATGGGACACATGAAAGCAATCCTAAAAGGGAATTTTGTCGCTATGAATACCCATGTCAGAAAAATAAAGCAAGCCCAAATAAATAACCCAATGATGTACCTCAAGATCTTAGAAAAACAAAAACAATCCAAATCTGGTGCTAGTACAAGGAAGGATATTATAAGGATCAGAGCAGAAATTAATGAAATGAGACCCCCCCAAAAAAAATAGTATCAATGAATCAAAGAGCTGGTTCTTCGAAAGAAAAAACAAAAGAGACAAACAGCCAATCTTACCAAAAAAAGGAAAGACAAGACCCAAATCGATGCAACTAGAAATGAAAAAGATGAAATCACAATGGACACTTCTGAAATCCAGATTATTAGTAATTACTTAGAAAACCTGGATGCTAATAAGTTGGAGAATTTAGAAGAAATGGATAAATTCTTATTTGAAAAACTGAGCCAAGATGATGTAGAGACCTTAAATAAACCAATAGCAGGCAATGAAACTGAAGCAGTGACTAAAAAAAAAAAAAGTACCAACTAAGAAAAGCCCATGACCCAATGGATTAACAAGCGATTATACAAGAACTTCAGGGAAGATGTAACGTCAATGTTCCTCAAACTCTTTCATGAAATTGAAAGGGAAAATGTACTCCCAAAGTCATTTCTGCAGCTAGAATTACCCTGATTCCAAAACCAACCAAAACCCAATCAAAATAGAAAACTACAGGCCAATCTTTTTAATGAACATAGATGTAAAAGTCCTCAACAAGATACTAACAAACAGAATGCAAAAAATTCCTCAAAAAGGTCACACATTATGACCAAGGGGGCTTCATTCCAGGAATGCAGGGATAGTTCAATATATGAAAATCAATCAATGTAATATATCACATAAACAGAACAAAACTTGCATGATTATCTCAATAGATGCAGAAAAAGCTGTCGACAAAATCCAACATCTATTTATCATGAAAACCCTGAAGATAATAGATATAATAAAAAGGCCGTTTCTCAATCTAGTAAAAGCTATTTAGGACAATCCTGCCAGAATCCTATTAAATAGGGGAAAACCTCTAAAATCAGGAACAAGACCAGACATCCAGTATCACCACTCCTATTGATATAGCACTCAAAATATTATCTAGAGCACTCAGGCAATAGAAAGAAATAAAGAATAGAGGAAAGGAAATATGGGACAGGAAAAAATATGAGAAAAGAAAAACATGGAAACAAAGTGTTTGTAAATAGGGAAGGGTGGAGGGGGTGAAGGGAGGAAGAGGGTGTGGGGAAAAAAATAAGAACCAAGATCTGTGATGTAAGGGTATAAGGTTCCAATGATGAATGCAACTGTACTGTATATTAAAAAGTACCAATAAGCTCAATAAGATTTTGAAGAAAGAAAGAAATACACATGGCTTTGACATGACTATAAGCCAAAAAAAATAAAGAAATAAGAAGGATATGTACAGGAAATGAAGATATCTAGTTATCATTATTTGCATACAACATGATCCTCTCAATAAAAGACCTAACAATTTTTACCAAATACTTCTAGAATTAATAGTCAAAGTCCTTAAGGTAGAGGATACAAAAACAACACACAAAAGTCTACAGCATTCCTGTACAGCAATAATGAGCACACTCGAGAAAGAAATTAGGAAAACAATACTGTTCACAAGAGCATGTAGAAAAATTAAATTTTAGGATTTAACCTAACCAAGCAAGTGAAAGGCCTACACTGAAAATTACAGTGCACTGGGGCCGGGGATTTAGCTCAGTGGCACTGCATCTGCCTCGCAAGCTCAAGGTCCTAAATTCGATCCCCAGTACCAAAAAATAAAACTACAGTACTCTGAAAATGGAGATTGAAAAGGACATCAGAGAATGGAAAGACGTCCACTGTTCCTGAATGGGCAGGACCGATATTGTCAGAATGGCCATGCTTTCAAAACTGATATGCAGATTGAATGCAATCCCAATCAAAATACCAACAGCATTCCTCACAGGCCTGGGGAAAATAATTCTAAAATTCACAAGGAACCAGAAGAAGATTACAAGATGGAGGAAGAGGAGGGGAGGGGAAGGAAGATGAGAAAAAGAATTAAAGTGCATCAACTCCACACAAGGAAGGTAATCATTAAGTGCTGAAAACATATACTAATAAAAATGAAAAAAATATCATCTACCCTAAAAATATTTACCAGTAACATAATGGTTTTCAAAATCAAAAACCTTAAACTTACTTTTCATTGAGCACTAACTATTCTAAGTATTCTAGTCTGTCTTTCTTTCTTTCTTTCTTTCGTACTGGGGATCAGACTCAGGACCTTGCACTTGAGAAGCAGGCACAGTGCCACTGAGTTAAATCCCCAGCCCATATTCTAGTCTTTCTATGCATTAATGAATTTAATATACACAACAACCATATGAATTAGTTACTATGATTTTCCTTATTTTACAGATGAGAAAACTACAGCACAGAATCAATAAAGAACCAGCTGAGGGTCACAGAGCCAGTAAGTTACATCATCAGGCAAGTGGTATCACCAAGTACGTGGTATCTCATAGGAAGACTGGCTCTAAAAGTTGTGCTTTTAACCACTATCTCTGCTGCCTTGTATGACTCTCCCTGTCTGAAGCCTATTTTCTGGCGATGATCAAACTCTTGTCACTAACAATCCTTTTCCTTAAACTATGAAGGAGGATGAAAGGATTCCAAGAACCAATCAAGAAAATGAGTAGGTACAAAGGAAATGTGTATTTCTTGCAATGGCTAACATGTCTATGATAACACACACACATGCACACACACACATGAAACAACTCACAGATGTTCTTAAAATCTGAAAACAAAGCCTAGATACTTATTTTTGAAAATATACCTTCCTTAGAAATAAAGATGAATTCATACCAATATTAGCAGATAATATGGATAAGAAATTATGGATACATATACCAATAATGAAGTTGTTTAGATGCGATATACAACTCCTAGTCAAAATGATAAAATTGTAGATTTTTCTTATAGCAAGTTTATAAAATGTAGCAAGTACAAGGATTTGCTGAAAAGTAGGTAACAAACTATGATGTTCAATAACAGAGTATCACTATCTACTATTCAGACTTCCATTTTTAGATCAAACTAAAATTATTTTGAAAAATTATAAAATCCAAGTGTGATTTGTACATGGACAGTTTCTTCTTCAGAGCTTTGTTATTTCTAGCATTAAATGTACCTTGTGTGCATGTTGAAAATTAAGTTTGTATTCCCTAGGACATGCTGAATAGATGAATAGGTCAAATTTTATACAGAAAAAGGAATTCATCCTTTAAATTTGCACAAAAGCCTACCACGTCAGAAATAGTAGAATGTTTGTGGCTACATGGAGATGAGGGATGATACGCTAGAGCTCAATACAAAATCAGTCCTATGTAGCCATGGACTGCAAGTTTGTATCGCCGCAAAATCCAAAATCTGAGGCCATAACCAGTGCATCGGATCAGACAGGACCTCTGAGAGAGGGTTAGGTTTGGTTGAGGTCCGGAGGATGGAGCTCCATGAAGACAGTAGTCACAGGCAGAGGAGAGACGTGAGTTCACTCTCCCGGCCAGGTGAGGACAAGGGGAGGCAGGTGCGTTATTAGGTTCTATCCCACCATTCCTTTTTCTAATTTTAGCTTTTATCAGCACTTGTTCGCAGTTCATGATGACTACGTTCGCCGTGGGGAGTTGGTGCACATACACAACACGTCTTCATACTTCCTTCATCTGCTTCCCTTCCCCTGTCTCCCGCCTCCCTCCATCTCTTGGTCCCATTCCCTTCTGCCCTGCTTCTTAAGACACTCACAGTGAACCTTCCGGTTTTGTTGGAGCAGCCGTAGAGCCGGGGCGGGTGGTGTTCGGCCTGCGTTTCCAGCAGTGGTGAGGTCTGGTAGTCTTTCTTCCCTCCAAGGGCGGTCCAAAACTCCTCTGCGGAAAGCACAGAGCTACTCAATGCATATTCAGGAGCATATGGCTGGTACTGTTTTATAGTGACAACAATCTTATCTCACCTTAACTTTAATGCTAAGAAGTTACTTAAATGTACCACGTATCATCACTCACTCTGGTAACCAACAGAGGGGTCCTTAACCCCCTTTAACCACCCCGAAATGATCCTTCTTTAAGGAGAACCGCAAGCAGCAAGCCCAGCAAATGCCAGTTCTGACCCCACAGCACACACCTGGCTCCTCGCCTTCCTGAATCCTTGCAGTGCTGCACGCCAGGACATTTGCCACATACTCTGCTCCCTTCTCCTCCTCCTGGCTGGCACCTTTTCCTACCCAGGTGTAACCGCCATTGCGGGGCAGTTTCAGGACAAAAGTATCATTGGAATTCAATGAATTTGCATCAACGTCAACCTGGAGCATGAGGAAAAATAATACAATGACTGAAATTCATTGCTGCTCCTTTCTCAATAAATATTTCCCAGGAGCTGTGACTGCCTTATAAACAAAGAGCGAAAAAATAATAGGAAGTAGGGAAATCTTTTTCCATTGGGAAGGGGAACAAGAGGCAAGGGCATGAAAAAAACTGAAAAAAAATAGAGACGGAGCTTCTGTAGATGGAAACAGGGCCAAGCGATAGACACAACCAGGAAGAAGGGAGCATGAACGCAGAATTGAGATGTGTTATAGATGGGCATAGCCTCCACCCTGCCCCAGGAAATTAACCCAGGGCTGCACGGGGACAGCCCTGTGGCACAAGAAATGATGGAGAAGGAGCATCTCAGCCTCTGGCCCTTGACCACCCAGCCCCCCTCAGACAGCAGCGCACTTTAGCGAGAGAAGAAACGGCTGCGACGAGGAACGGCGGTCGGACCTTTCAAGAATGACCCAGGGGTTGGTGACATTTGGGGAAGGGGTCCTGAGTCCTCGATACCACACCATGCAGGAGGAACCTGTGAGATGTGATGATGAACGGTGAGAAGAGTGTGCTGCGAACACCTAGTGGGAAAAAGGCACTCAACGAAATGGCGAAGGCTGACTATGGTAGGTGCTAGTTAGAGAGAAGTGAAAAAAAACAAGACCACAGAAGTGACCTTTGTGTGGCGAGGTGCAGCACTGACCAGCCAGAAGAAAGCCAGGCCACCAACTGACTGGCTCCGGGGAGACCAGGAGGCTCAAAACTGTGGGTCAGGGAGTGAATGAAGACAACATTGTCAAGGATCGCTGATCTTAAGGAGGAGAGCAAGGGCCGGGCCTTGCAAGCACAAGGTCCTGAATTCGATCCGCAGTACAAAAAAAGAAGGAAGGAGAGAAAAATAAGGGTTGCTGGATAAGGTCAAGGTCAAGAGATAGTATTTTAAAGAAATGACTTTTTAAAATACATCTATGAATTTCAAAGTAAATGACCAATGATAGAATAAATTAGTGTTAGAGAATAGAATGGAGATTGTTGCCGGCAGTCAGGATGACTGCATGGATAGCAGTCTAGAAAAGCCTTCAGGAGAGGAAGGAATCCTGAACAGAGGTCAGTGGTGGGAGGAATTTGGCCTTAGATGGGGGCCACAGTTTGTATTCTATGTAATAAACACTTACTAAATTATTTATTGAGAAAAGTGACATTTACAGTGAAATTTATTTATAAAGTGACACTTTCTAAAAGACACTAATTTCTCACTAATTTGCAGATAATGTTTTGATATTAATTAATAAAATACTTGATTCTTTATATGTAAATTACTAAATATGGGTATTAACTTATTCAAAACTTTACATTTCACTAAATGGAAGGGGAAGAAAATGCAGACGATTCAGAAATTGCACAGGGTGGGTGAGTAAGGTGACCACAATGTGATTGTGCTGGTCTTCTCTGCAAGCTCTGCATCAGAATTACCCAGAGGCAGGGAGGTGCTAGAGTTTCAGGATGGAGGTGAACCTGAAGGGTCTGAAGGGTGAAGAGCTACAGGCTTGGAGAATTGCCAGTATGTGCATCTTGGGGTAAAAGAGTCAAAGAGCCGGAGGTGGTTGTCAGAGACCAGACGACTTAAACAGATTTCTGAGGGGCCATGGTTTTTTACTGTCAAAGCCAGGATTTATTAGAGGACCATGCGAGTATGAGATGAAATGGGGTTAAAAAAAAAAGGTTATCAGAAGAGAGAGGCCAGGTGATAGTGAGACAACAGCTGAAATACTCAAAACATAAAGGAATAAGGACCAGCAGCTCCACAGATGGTGGCACAAGAGGGCTGGGGGAGCAGGGAGAGTCAAGATGAAAAGAACAGACACCAAAGAGACCAGGGTCAGCAAGGACAGCGCCCCATCCAGCCCCACCCAGGGCTCTGGGGAGTTGGCACTGGGGAAAACACAGTTTCCACTGAGCGGGCTATGGGAAACAGGTGTCCTCACAGAACAGAAATGGAGCAAGAGGGTGAAGGGGAGGCAGGCACGGAGAAGACAGGGGATGGAGGGATACGGACTGCCTGGGGCATACAGGCTCTGCTCGTGCAGAGGGAAGGGCTAGGACATAGCTCCAGGTCTGGGGACGGGCAGGGCAATGTGGGGTGATTTGGAAGATCTGGGTTCCAACAGAGGCGACAGGACATGAGGTGTGGCTGGATGTGTTCAGTGTGGCGGAGTCCACATCCCGCACTGTCACACCTGGGCACACCAGGGCCTCCCCTCTCAGACCCCCATGCTCGGTCACACAGGCCCTTTCCTCAGGACAGAGTTGGCACTGCCTTGCGCCTGTTTTGAGAGCCTGATTTGTTACAGGATCCTTAAAACTTGGTGTGGGCCCAGGGAAGCTGAAAAATGTGACAAGCTGGAGCCTGGAGTTTAACTTTTCATTAAACTCTCCTGGTGTTTAGTAGTTTTTATTTTATGTGAACAGTGGGTTCATTATCGAAATGAAGGGGCTCAGCTTGCCAGTAGTGAAAAGCCAGCATTTGCTGATGGCTGAGGTCCACCGGGAAATGCACAAACCAGGCATGCTTTCCTGAGTAGGCGACAGTGACGGTACCTCCACAATCCTGGTGACAGACGCCAGGTTTCTCCGGACTTGAAAGAGACGGACAGGTGGAGCCGGGGCCTGTCCGCCTTTCTTTGATGTCCCATTCTTGTAAATAATGAGTGGTTTGTCTTTGAACAAACTCAGCAGGTGAGCAGGCTCTTTGCCTTGGGAGACTCGGACCTGGGTGCAGGGGGTAGGGGAATAAAAGAAATATAATAAAGAGTGCAGTGAAAGAAGGCTGCATTTCTAAATAGGTTCTTTATTTTCTATTTGAAAATAAAAAATACACCAAAAGTCAGGTGAGGAGCAGAAGGGATGACAATTAACACAAAATATAGGTTAGTGATAAACCACATTCACTTAGAAATGTTTTGTCACCTCAGTGTTCCTGCAATGCTTTCTGCTTTCAGAAAATGCAAAGATGGAAGTATATTTATCTGTGTCTCCAAAGGGGCAAAGACGACAAAAAAATAAAAAATGTTGACATCTGCCACCTTTTTGAAAAGTGCTCTCCTTTCAAGAACACTAATATTTTACAGATATTTATGGATGCGGTAGGTTTTCGTGTGTTTTGGAGCTGGTTCAGATTAAGAGATGTGTGTTCAGACGCTTCAAAAATACGACACAAGTTACACTCATTATTGCTATATGCCTATATGTGTAAGATGAAGCATTAAAAACTGACAAAAATAAACTGACTATACACTTTCGAAACTTTACTTATAAAATGGCAGCTATTAAGCATAACATATGCTTAATACAAGTAGCCTATTTTTATGTGGTGTAAGGACTTTTTAAAGATGAGGAAATTGGGAAATAGAAGAAATTCACTGGCCAGTGACTTGCTTGATTTCACCTACTACCACCCAATATGGAATTAAAATTTCTCACATAAACTAGTGGTGCATTTTTTTTTAACATAAAGAGTTCAAATACTGGACCAGCCCCCTACTTTTTGCATTTATTCTGCCTGGTGCTAGAATGAACTGCCTTGTCTACCCTGGTCTGTCCCGTCCCAGAGGCTGGGTAACAGGAACGCTGACACCCTCACTGTTATAGGGAGGCCTGGGGAGCGAAATAACTGACTGTGTAAATATGTTCCAACCAGCAGGCATTCAAGTAAGTGAGAGACTGATTATGAAAATATTTCCTCACAGTCACAGAGCTGTGGACAAGGGTAGGAAGGAATAGCGTTTCACACAGCCTTGAGGAAACTTCAATTTCCAACATAAGGGAAAGGGGATCAGTGATGAAGGCCCATGCTTTCTTGTGAAGATGAGTAAGAGAGCGACAAGGCAGACTAAAACGTTTTCAACACTCTTACTATGAAACAGCAAGTTTAGCTTTCTCAGCAGTATATAAAATACTGCCATCTAGTGACTGAACTAAAAGTTACCATTTCATTGTTAATTTAGGATGCAACAGATCTCTGGAATTCATTATCTGGGCATATGTGACATATTCTACTATGCACTATGTGATATGTAGGGCACAATGAGTATCTTCAAGTGTTTTAATAATTTGTTAAGGAATACTTTAAAGATCAACTAAATGGAAAAGGTGATGTCAGTTCTTAACTAGAAATATTCTATTAAAGAAATCAATGTAGTACTTCATCGGGAAATAGGGTTGAGTGCATGTAAATAATTCATACTTTTAAATTTTCCAATTAATTACTTAGCTAACTTATTAAAAATGATTAAATGTGCCCATACATTTAGATCGAACTTGATAATATTTGTAAGTACCAAAGAAAAGAAACCATCTGGAAGACCAAATTCAGCCTCCACATCTTGTATTTCATGCTCTGAAGTACCTGAGTTATCTTTCTATTTAATTATTACACTTAAACAAGTAATTATACATTTATAAAGATTTGAAAACAAAACAAAACAAAAACCTTCTATAGGACATCAACTCTCAGCTCCCTTGCCACCAGGCACAGGAAGTTAAGCAAACACACTCCTGCGGAGGAAACGGGAACCCTCATGCAGCTGTCCCAGAAAGGTCACCGCGCTGGCCAAATGGGCACCGCTCTCAGTTCGAAGCCCGGTATAGAAGACACATTTCCCAGCAGATGGGAGCAGACACCTTCCCCAAAACTGGCCAGACAAACACACAGGCGGGCAGGAAATGCCTAAGCAGTGCTGTGGGCAACTCCGGCTAAAGAAAGAGAGAGATTGAAAGAGAAAGAGACAGAGAGACCTAAAGCTCGCTGAAGGGACAAGGAACAAGCAAGTGCCACTCCCGGGTTCCTGAGAGGAGACGGACACATTGGAGTGCACTAGAAGTAAACAGGGTTTCCTTGAAGCCTGTATTTTATTTATGAACTAGGGAAAGTAAGCAAAGATCAATAAACTCCTGTGATTACTAACAAGGGTCCTGAAACAAATAGCAGATACTCCGCCATAAGTACAAGAAGATGGGCATCTGAACTTGAAAAGACAAAATCAGGCTGCAAAGAGTCTCACAGACAGTGAGGAGACCTAAGACCTGGCAGTGGTAACCTCCGAGGCTGTATCCCACTCAGACTTTTATAATTAGTCAGGATACCGTCTCTCTCTACTGTCTTTTCTGTGTATCAATCTCTCTGTATACATACTCGTGTGTATACAGTGTGTGTGTGTGTGTGTGTGTGTACACACATACATACACATGGACACACAAAGAGCTTGACTCATATTTACATGGAGTTGTTATTTCGAATTTGGGTTCAGTGATTCTCGGGAGTTATTTTTAACAGAAATACCCAACTAAAGAATCCATTCTCCTTTTCCCTCACTCCTACCTCTCTCCCTTCCCTTTCCGCCCTCTCCCTTCTCCCTTCCTCTCATTTCTGTCTCCTGATTCTTTCCCCGTTCTCTTTATTTCCTTTGTCTCCCCTGTTTCTCTCTCCTCACTGCTTCCTCTCTCCTCTCCTCCCATTCTGTCCTTTTCCTTCTCCTCTCTCCCACCTCTCCTTCACTTCTAGGTGCTGGACTTTGTTTCGGCCAAGATTCTGGTACATAAAAAGGAAAAATTCCATGCTTTCTTTAGAGATTATTTCACTCTACCTGTAGAACACATAGCTTATGTATTTTTATATTTTAAGAGTATCTGCTGGGTGTAGTGGCATACACCGGAAATTCCAGCACTCAGGAGGCTGAGGCAGGAGAACTGCTATGAGTTCAAAGCCAGCCTGAACTACATAGTGAGACAATATTATTCTACTATTTATCTATTAACTAGAATTATTCATCTGTGCTAGTTCTACACTCTTGTATTTATTTCTCATTGCTGTAACAAATTATCATGCACAAACTTATTATCTTATATCTCTGGAGGTCAGAAGTCCAAAATGAGTTATAGGCTAATTTAGTCCCTGGGCTAAAATCTGGGATATTTGAAAATTGAATCAGACTACCCAGGCAAGCTAAAGTCAGGCTATCGCAGAGGTATATTTCTTCCTAGAACAGGGATGAATTCGTTTCCTGGCCTTTTCTAGCTTCTAGAGTTTGCCTGTATTCCTTTACTGGGACCCCTTCCCTGGTCAAACCTGGCAACTTCTGGGTATGTCTTCCCCATGCTGTGTCCCTCCACTGTGCCAGCCTGCTTACTTCGCTGCTAAGGACCCTGGTGGTCACACTGTACCCCTGGTAATCCAGATCATCTCTCTCCTTCAAGGTCTGCTGAAGGGCAGCCGTACTTCTGCCATCAACCGTAACTCTCCTCTGCCTTGCAGCACAACATATTCTCAGCTTCTCATACACAGGAGGGAAGCTCTAGCTAGTAACTAAGCCGGCAATCCTCGGACTTGGATGAGTCTAGGGGTTAAAAGCATCACAACCTGCACAGCCTGTCCTCCAAGGGACCGATCCAACTGGACAGTCAGGAATGCAGATGTGGTCAGCTCATCTCGTGTGGCATTTGCCCCCTGCCTGGAGGAATGAGAGCAAAACACATTAGCTTGTATTTAAGTTTTAAGACGTTTTTGTACAGCTATTTCAAGAAAAGACTTAAGTTATTATGAAAAATTAAGAAGAAGCCAACCATTTTAATGTGATACAATGATCTGTCAAAACTACTGTTGCTTTCAAAGTACTAACATCAAGCCCTGAACTGTCCTGTTGTATTTTCCAGAACTGGATACGGTGGCCATTTTTATCTCTGTTTCAACAACATTGGGCCTTAGCTGTTCATATAACTTAGCCAAGTAACCATGTCTGTCTGATTCCAAATTGGATCTGCCTATTTTGCAGAAACCATTTCCATAGTGAAAATAATACATCTGAGTACCGGTAGATAAGGCAGGCCTGTGAGGCTGTTATTGGAGGCATTTTATCTTTCTATGAGTACTTAGTAAGCATGGAACCAAATATATAAATTCTCAACACTTCAAACTGGAAAGAAAACTAAATGACCAGCACCACCCCACCACCCCGTGCCATCCCAAAGACAGTAATCAGTAACAATGTAGTGCCTTCCCACTGTCTTTTCTCTTTGCAGTGTGGACCAACTTGCACTCTCCTCCGTTCCCTACCTTTGTTTCATGTACTCTACTTACTTATATTGAAACAAAACCCTAGGGGCCACTCTTAACTTTGTCATCTCTACTACTCATAACCACTCTCTCATGCAAACTCCTTCACAGCCTGCACAGCTGTCTCACGCTTTCCGGCCCTGCTGTCATCACTGTACAGTGAATTCAGGCCCTATTAACACTCAGCTCAATCACTGCAACAAACTCCCAGTCATCTTCCTGCTTCTGGTCTTGCCAGCCAATCCATTCCTGCCGTATCAAGAAGTTTCTCTAAAAGGAAAACCAATCGTGTCACTCCCCTGTTCAAACTCTCATTGGCTCCCAACCCCTGGAAAATAGACTTCATCCTTCACAGCATGACCGCGCAAGCCATTCCCAATTTGGTACCATCTGATTTCTCTGGTTTTGCCCTCTGTTCCAACCGTATTTCTTTGCTGGTAGATTATTAGAGCACGCCTTTACCTGCACTGCTTGGAACAGCTTCCCTCCCTGCTGGTCTGACTGCAGCAGCTCCTCTTCCTCTCTGATTCAAAGGCCACTTCCGGGAGCCTCTACCAGTAGCCTTGGAGAGAGCCAGCTGTCTGTAATTCCCCGGATCACCCAGCTTGCTCTTATTGTCCTGCCCTAAAAAACATTCTCTTGACTTGCTTGTTTAGTCTTCTTTTGCTTGATCTAAGTGCTAAGAGCAATTACGTTTCTTACATTCAGAATAGAATTAAGAGAAAGACCATGAAACAAAATGAACAAAAAGCTGAATAGGAACAACTAATTTTTCATCCCTATCAAAGTTGTGCCCTGCACAAACACCTTTTTGAATTCAAATTTTATAAAGATATTTCTGAAGTGAGAGACCTACAGCTCCGGGTCTGAACTGTTACTTCACCAGATACAACAGTTGGGACTTTGGATTAAGTTACTTACCCTCTAATCCTCCTTACAAACTTTTTAATGTAACAGAAATGGTACGTCAAATAAATACTTTCCTGGCACAAACATGCTCCTCAAAAAAAATGGTTCCTAGATGTCTTGACCATAGAATCAAACAGCCAAATGCATTCATCTTGGAGAGAGTATGGAGAAACCGTGTGGCCAGAAATGCCTCCGAGTGCAGGGGTTCTCGTTAATAGGAGTATAGTCAGAACCTCGGGAATCTCACCACCTGAGAGTCTGGTTTATTTAGCTTGGGGTGAGGGCATGTAGGCTGCGAAAACAGTCCAGGTTCTTCCTGTGGTGTCTGAGAGCAATGCCTCAGGCAATGACTGCTAACCATTAGAATACACATGAATCCTGGAATGATTTGCTACCCTGTACCATCTTCCCTAGTGAGTCAAAGGACTCACCTATGCTTCTGGGTGCCAGACTACCCTTGGGTATCACCGCATATCCCTTATCTCCTGACCCTCCTTGGACTGGAGGGACTGGGCAACTCCAGCAGTAAGACTGTCATCTGATGTGAGACTCACTGAAGAGAAATGTCACCACATAAGCAGAGTGCTGATGTGTCCACTCCATGTTGCTGCTGTCTTGTAAGCAAAGGTGGGGTGGGCTCTGACCCAGACCTTATATTCTCCACACACAATTCTCAGCTTCAAGATCTTTTCTGAGTATTATTTTCTCAGCAATATTATCTTTTTTAATCTTTTTAAATTGAGTTTATTGGTACATTTTAGGTATACAGTACAGTTACATTCATTATTGGGATCTTGTACCTTTACATGACAGGTCTTGGTTCTCATTTTTTTCCCCTTGTCCCTGCCCTCCCTTCACCCCCTCTTCCCCTCCCCCATTTACACTTTATTTCCATTTTCTCGGCAATATTCTATTTTACCTGATTTCACTTACTACAAAGTTAGAGAATTTCAGTTATATGATTTGTTTTACAATCCCTATCTTTGAAATGTCCCAAGGGTCGGGGGGAGGCGTGTCAATGTTTGTTGCTTCATCTTTGAGCGGGGCCTCTGACCCGAGGAAATCTAACCTTCAATTAACTACAGTCATTATGGAAATCTTGTAGCTGGAGATACACTGACATATTTTTTCTGTCATTGCTGGGAATTTCATGGGGACAAAGACTAAAGATGCATTAACTTGAGGTCTGTTCAGTATGCTGTGGTGAAATCACAAGTTATATCCCCTGCAGGGTTTGCCTTACTACAACTTCACAGCTTCTATCTGGGTGGCCTTCCTGAATTATAACAGTAAGAAAGACAGTACCCAATGCTGCCACTACAGCATATGCCTGCATGAGAGATGAAATAACGAACCATATATCCAGCAAGAGGACGCTACTACTGGGAATATTAAAACCCTTTTCCTAGACCAGAGAGGGTTATTTTTAACTCCACTAGTCTGTGGACAGCCGCCACAAAGCTCTCAAAGTCATGATAAAGAGAACACTATGGGCATGCCTCCAAATCTCACTGGGGCAACTACAGGATGATTCTACCCCATACTGCATAGAACTTCATATTCAAGCATAATCTGGCCCTGCAGAAGTTGAGCTCTTGTGGAAGAGGTAAACTTACCATGTGTAGATGATCTGCCCCCTGGGATAGGTGTAGAGGATAATGTAGCAGTCACCACCGTAGAACTCACCATAGGAGCTTGGCTCAATTTCGATTCTACCGTTGCATTCTACACGCCAAATCTAAAGGAAACAAGATAGATATACAATGTTAAAATTTTTTAATCTAATAACATTTCTCACAGGCTTTAAATAATTTTTCTTTTACATCTATTATTAAACAACTTTTAAATTGTTTTCCAACTAGTTTACAAATCAAGCAAAGACCAGGTATGATGGCACACACCTGTAATCCCAGCCCTCTGGGAGGCTAAGGTGGGAGGATCACAAGTACAAGGCCAGCCTGAGGAACTTACCAAATTAGCAAGTGTCTCAAAATGAAAGATTAAAATAGAGAAGATCGGGGGAAGTAGCCCAGTTCTGGGTTAAATCCCCAATACTTTAAAAAACAAAAGTCAAGCAAGAGTGAGAAAATTGATCAAATTGGCAATGTGTTGATTTTCAGTTGCTTCAATTTCTTTTGCTTCCTCTACAATATTTAGCTCAGCTCTGACGCTGTAAATAAATCTATTATTTGATCAATTAGTGAAAATAACACGACACTGTAGTGTAATAACAAACTGTATTATTCATCTCAGAAATGTATCTTTTAGCTTTATAGTAAAATTTTTTATTCCATTATGAAATAACTTTTTTTCTTCTTCCCTTTGGCTTAAGACACAAGACTACTACTTTCTGAGGCAAGAGCTGGTAGACTGTGACCAAATGATAGCCTTGCCTCAGAGGACCGAATACCTGTGCTCCCTGCAAGATTCAGTCTGAAATCTAAACTTAGGAAGGGGGACTTTGGAAAAATAATGAGGTCCTAAACGTGGGTCTACTGGGAATCCGAGGGGTGATGGAAATATATGGTGAATGTTACACTTAAATTTTACTGTAGTAAAAGATACATTCCCTACAATATGAGATAAATACATTCACAGCAAAGAGGGAGCATTTTGCAGGGGATTAATAGCCAGGTGTCTTTTATTACATCAGATTTTACATTTAAATATTAACTGTAAGTGGTACCTTGGCTTGTGAACTTAATTTGCTTTATGATTTGGGGAAGATGAGTTCATTAATGTTTGTGTGGGGAAGATGGCTGTGGTCGTGTTTGTCACCCAATGCAAAGTTTTCAAAAGGAAGCCAAAATTATGCCAAATGTTTTTGTTTGAGAACCAAAGTGTTTGCAATCAAAAGTGTCCGTGAACCAAGGTATGACGGTATTTTACGATCATCCCACACTGAGTCAACTATCTACAGCAATTTCTGTCAAAAGCATGGTGTGTATTCATTTATTTTATTCAATAGATAAAGGCATTGTGTGACTTCTGGCTCTTCCCCAAAGTCAAAGTGACCATGAAAGGAATATGTTTTGAGCTGGAGATTAGCTCAGTGGTTCTAGCACCTGCTTTGCAAGACAAGGACCCGAGTTTGATCCCCGGTACCAAAAGAAAAAAGAAAATGCTTTGAATCCATTCAGGACATCGAGGCAGCTACAATAGCACAGCTAAAGGCCCTCTCAAAAGGACTTCCAGAACTTTTCCAAAAAAGAGGTGAAAAAATGTGTTTGATTTGAGGGGAAGTATTTTTGAGGGAGATTAATAGTAATGTATCTTTTACTCCAATAATTTCTTTAAAATTATTCACTGTATTTTCAAGCACAAGGCACAGAATCAATGCCTTTATAGAAGGGACCCCAGAGAATTCTCCAGCAACTTCTCCATGTCGTGAGAACCAGGATCCAACACTGAATCTATCAAAACTTTAATTTTAGACTCCCAAGCCTCCAGACATGTGAAAAGTAAATGTTTACCATTTAAACTCCCAGTCCATGGTATTTTTTTTACAGCAGCCCAAACAGATGTCAATATCATGACTTCTATTTCTAAAAAGCACTATATAGGCATAAAACTGAAAAGTACTGTATTTTGCTTCTTCGTCTTCATCACAAATGAAAGACACCCAAGTTGGAGAGATGAGAGTTGTAGAAACAGCAGAGTAACCAGTGAGTAAGAGGCTGCAGGCACTGCGTGTGCCCGGCACAAACCCTGCTGGGGGGTGGGGGGCAGGGTTGTGCTCGGCTTGGAAATATGGAGGTGAGATGAAGATGAGCCTTGGAGTGCCACCTAGCGAACAGAGGAGACACAGCACAGCCTTGCTAAACCAGGAGCCTAAGAGACTCCCAGGGTTTCAGCAGCCATAAGGAAAGCGCAAGAGGCCGTCTTGTGGCCTGAAATGGAGACCACATCCAGGATCCAGCCAATGTGAAGGAGCCACTGCTGCCCCAAGTCCCTGTGGCTGTGGTGCCTGTTTTGAGCTCCAGAAAGGACATCCAAGCAGGAGACAGATCCAGGCCCAGAAGCTGAGACCCCTTTGGCCATGAGGAATATTCATTACTTGTCCCTTGTCATTTCCCACTCCACTAGCCCTGTACACCTTACATTCACACTTTATGTCTTTGAAAGAGGAAAAATTACTCCCCAAATTTTCCCCCAAATTTCTCTTTTCTTTTTTTTTCTTTTTTTTTTTTTTTA